CCCCAAAACCCCAAAACCCCAAAACCCCAACCTTACAATGGCATATTGAATGAGAATCCTGGTATTTACAAAATCTAGCATTAAATAATTTTACTATTATGATTTAAGCTGAACAACAAATTTAGGTTGTTATTCTTTTTATGAGGACAGAGCCAAATTTGTCTCATCTCAAAGATAAAGAATCTGACAAATTTCATTTTATTAAACTCAGAAACATCGATTGCAGTGAGCAACATGAATCTCTGGCCAATAATTTTGTATATTCTATGTCTCAGAATAAGCTGAAGCAGCTGATAGTTTTGAGTTCCAAGATATTGAATAAATCTGAGATCTTAAAAATGTATCAAATCCATCTTCTAAAAATATAGTTTTCTGAAGAAGTGTTTTGCTTAATATTTCTGAAGTGTTTAGATTTTCCGAATAAATTCTTAGCCACAATAAATGATTCTTTTAAGTGTGACAATTCTTTTAGTCTTTAATAACTTTTGAGAGTAACAACTTAAGAACCAGTTTATCCATCTCCTTTTGATACAAATATTAGTATTTAGTGATTTCCGTATATTTTTCAAGCCAATGGCATAACATAATCAGCTAGAATGGATCTGTAGAGCGATCACTGCTCCTAAACATTTGTCCAAATCGAACCACCATGCGGTTGGACAGCATCACAAAAGAATTATTAGGTTTGAAATTATTACTCAGAATTGTCCTCCTCTAATCATAAGTGCAAACTTGAGCTTAATGGATTGGAGAATTCAACTTCCCTTATAGTTTCCTAACATGAGGAGTTTTAGAACAGACTTTGTTTTTATCGGAAGGCAAATTTAAGGATACTTTTTACTCATATTGCCAGTAAAATTTTCAGATTATAATAAAAACTAGAAGTCTGTAGAGCTATTACTCGAGTGTATTTATGTTTTCCACTTTATTTCTAATGATTAGTAAGTATTAGAAGATTATTTAAATAAAGAGGTAAATAAGAACCACAACAAAGGATACAATAGAATTGGGATATCTTAAAACTTAAACCAATATTTAAAATGAATTAGAAGTTACTCCGCCTACTCTGAAATGTTTATGTGGTCCAAAGCAAAGGATAAAGCTTTAGCCTTCATGGAAGTTATGGTTTCTGGTCAATTGTTTAGCATATTTATCTTTTTGAGCGAGTCTTTTAGTTTTCATTTACTAATCCCTTCCAAAATTGAGTTCAGGGTTTCAGGAAGAAATCTCATTAAACCATATGGACTTAATTGCAGTGTTTTAGTGTTGAAACTTCTATTTTCATCCGGCTTAAATCCGTTCCATTGATCAAAGTAAACTTGTTGCGCACTAATTGCCTCAACATCGGAGCATTTGTCCATGAATTCTGAAAAATCATCTGATGTAAATTCCCAAACTTTTAAATGGACTTCTTTGGGTTTCATTAACTGAACTGCTGATGCAAGAGCTGGCAAGATAGGATTTATTTGGCAATATTCCCATGGGCATTTCTCATCTCAGTGTAACTTCAGTTTATCAATACGTGATAGTAAAGGATGGTTAAGGAGTTCTCAAACCTCAAAGATGCTTTTATCACAATTCTGTATAGTTAAGCACTTGAGGTTCTTAACTTCGGCTTCATTTATCAATATCTCATCTACCAATTTCACATCCTTTGCAATATTCAAGTTAATCTCGAGCTCCCTCACCTTCTCTGACCCAAGGTCTCACTCCATCACTTTTTCATATAACTTTTCTAGTGGCATACCTTGGCTGAATTCGTCCAAGTACTTTTGTGTAGCGTTTGTATTGTCTGAATTTGGAAGAGATGCTTCAGTATCGTTATGCTCTTCAGCTGACTCTAGCTCATTCTGGCGGCCAAGATTGTATGAGGCAACAAAGTCAACCATAAGGCTACAATACTTCTGGTAAACCTCGCTTTCTTTTATGTTACTCCAGATGTCAAGGATATGTTTAAGTAAAGCCCCATACTCCAGAAATCTATCTTGGCTTACTGAATCAACTAACTTGGCTTCGGTATTAGCAATTTTGGATTTGTACAACTTGATGAATCCAGGAACTCCTTGAATATGGGTCTCAATCTCGAGTCTCTGGTTGTCTTTGGACATGGTCTCGAGCACTCTTTCCAAGTGAGTAATGTTAGCTTGAACTCTGTCTGGGTTCACAATCTCATCTACTTGTCATTTAGTGTGAAGCTTGTCTTTGCAGCCATAACACAGAATAGCTTTGTGGTCTGGGCAGAACACTTGTCTTTGAGCAGTGCACAGTTTGGTGAATCAAGGTTTCATTTTTGAGTCTTATTATCCATATTGCACGGATATTGATTAAGCCATAGGAGAAATATTAAAATCAAGAATTATTTTCAACATTCTCTGAGTTTAATGGGGTTTTGGGGTTTTGGGGTTTTGGGGTTTTGGGG